ATTTATTATTTATTATTTATTATTTATTATTTATTATTTATTATTTATTATTTATTATTTATTATTTATTATTTATTATTTATTATTTATTATTTATTATTTATTATTTATTATTTATTATTTATTATTTATTATTTATTATTTATTATTTATTATTTATTATTTATTATTTATTATTTATTATTTATTATTTATTATTTATTATATATTATTTATTATTTATTATTTATTATTTATTATTTATTATTTATTATTTATTATTTATAATTTATTATTTATTATTTATTATTTATTATTTATTATTTATTATTTATTATTTATTATTTATTATTTATTATTTATTATTTATTATTTATTATATATTATTTATTATTTATTATTTATTATTTATTATTTATTATTTATTATTTATTATTTATTATTTATTATTTATTATTTATTATTTATTATTTATTATTTATTATTTATTGTTTAATATTTATTATTTATTATTAATTAAAATAATAATTATTGTTATAATATATTTATTAATATATTATTAATTAAAATAAATAAATATTGTTTAATATTTATTATTAATTATTTATTATTTGTTTTTTATTATTTATTTATTATTATTTATTATTTATTATTTATTATTTTTTTATATATTATATATTATTTATTATTTATTATTTATTATTTATTATTTATTATTTATTATTTATTATTTATTATTTATTATTTATTATTTATTATTTAGTATTTATTATTTGTTTTTAGTTATTATTTATTATTTTTTATTTATTACTTATTATTTATTATTTTTTATTTATTGTTTAGCATTTATTATTTATTATTTATTAATTATTATAATTATTTATTATTAATTATTTATTATTTATTATTAATTATTAATTATTTATTATTTATTATTTATTATTTTTTATTTGATATTTATTATTTATTATTTATTATTTATTATTTGTTATTTATTATTTATTATATATTATTTATTATTTATTATTTATTATTTATTATTTATTATTTATTACTTATTATTTATTATTTATTATTTATTATTTGTTATTTATTATTTATGATTTATTATTTATTATTTATTATTTATTATGTATTATTTATTATTTATTATTTATTATTTATTATTTATTATTTATTATTTATTATTTATTATTTATTATTTATTTTTTATTATTTATTATTTATTATTTATTATTTATTATTTATTATTTATTATTTATTATTTATTACTTATTATTTATTATTTATTATTTTTTTAAATATTATTTATTATTTACTATTAATTATTTATTATTTATTATTAATTTTTAACAGAAGGATTTCGTGGTCTACACAGTCAAATGCCTTTTGAAAGTCCAGAAATATACACGCCACAAATTTACCGCTGTCAATGTTGTTGCTATTTATTTATTATTAATTAAAATAATAATTATTGTTATAATATATTTATTAATATATTATTAATTAAAATAAATAAATATTGTTTAATATTTATTATTAATTATTTATTATTTATTATTTGTTATTTATTATTTATTATTTATTATTTCTTAATAATTATTTATTATTTATAATTTGTTATTAATTATTTATTATTAATTATTTACTATATATTATTTATTATTTATTATTTATTATTTTTTATTTATTATGTATTATTTATTATTTATTATTTATTATTTATTATTTATTATTTATTATTTATTATTTATTATTTATTATTTATTATTTATTATTTATTATTTATTATTTATTATTTATTATTTATTATTCATTATTTATTATTTGTTATTTATTATTTATTATTTATTATTTATTATTTATTATTTATTATTTATTATTTATTATTTATTATTTATTATTTATTATTTATTATTTGTTATTTATTATTTATTATTTATTTTTTATTATTAATTAAAATAACGATTATTGTTATAATATATTTATTAATATATTATTAATTAAAATAAATAAATATTGTTTAATATTTATTATTAATAATTTATTATTTATTATTTGTTATTTATTATTTATTATTTATTATTTATTATTTATTATTTATTATTTATTATTTTTTTATTTATTATATATTATTTATTATTTATTATTTATTATTTATTATTTAGTATTTATTATTTGTTTTTTATTATTATTTATTATTTATTATTTTTTATTTATTACTTATTATTTATTATTTTTTATTTATTGTTTAGCATTTATTATTTATTATTTATTAATTATTATAATTATTTATTATTAATTATTTATTATTTATTATTAATTATTAATTATTAATTATTTATTATTTATTATTTATTATTTATTATTTATTATTTATTATTTATTATTTATTATTTATTATTTATTATTTATTATTTATTATTTATTATTTATTATGTATTATTTATTATTTATTATTTATTATTTATTATTTATTATTTATTATTTATTATTTATTATTTATTTTTTATTATTTATTATTTATTATTTATTATTTATTATTTATTATTTATTATTTATTATTTATTATTTATTATTTATTATTTATTACTTATTATTTATTATTTATTACTTATTATTTTTTTATTTATTATTTATTAAATATTATTTATTATTTACTATTAATTATTTATTATCTATTATTAATTATTTATTATTTATTGTTTAATATTTATTATTTATTATTAATTAAAGTAATAATTATTGTTATAATATATTTATTAATATATTATTAATTAAAATAAATAAATATTGTTTAATATTTATTATTAATATTTATTATTTATTATTTGTTATTTATTATTTATTATTTATTATTTCTTAATTATTATTTATTATTTATAATTTGTTATTAATTATTTATTATTAATTATTTACTATATATTATTTATTATTTATTATTTATTATTTTTTATTTATTTTGTATTATTCATTATTTATTACTTATTATTTTTTACTTATCATTTATTATTTTTTTTTTTTTCAATATCATTTATTATTTATTATTAATTATTTATTATTTATTTTTAATTATTTATTATTTATTGTTTAATATTTATTATTAATTATTTATTATTTATTATTTGTTGTTTATTATTTATTATTTATTATTTCTTAATTATTATTTATTATTTATAATTTGTTATTAATTATTTATTATTAATTATTTACTATTTATTATTTATTATTTTTTATTTACTATTTATTATTTAATATTTATTGTTTATAATTTATTTTTTTTTATTTGTTATTTATTATTATTTTTTATTATTTATTATTTAATATATATTATTTATTATATTTTATTTATTATCCATTATTTATTATTTATTATTTAGTATTTATTATTAATTATTCATTGTTTATTAATTATTTATTATTTATTAATTATTATTTATTTATTATTTATCATTTATTATTTATTTTTTATTATTCATTATTTATCATTTATTATTTATAATTTATTATTTATCATTTATTATTTACTTTTTATTACTTATTATTAAATATTTATTATTTATCATTTCTTATTTATTATTAATATTTATTAATTACATTTTATTATTTGTTATTTATTTTTTATTATTCATCATTTCTTTTTTATTTTTAATATTTATTATTTATTATTTATTATTTATTATTGATTCTTTATTATTTATTATTTATTATTTAATATTTATTATTTATTATTTATTATTTATTATTTATTATTTATTTTTTATTATTTATTATTTATTATTTATTATTTATTACTTATTATTTATTATTTATTAAATATTATTTATTATTTACTATTAATTATTTATTATTTATTATTAATTATTTGTTATTTATTGTTTAATATTTATTATTTATTATTAATTAAAATAATAATTATTGTTATAATATATTTATTAATATAATATTATTAATTAAAATAAATAAATATTGTTTAATATTTATTATTAATTATTTATTATTTCTTATTTGTTATTTATTATTTATTATTTATTATTTATTATTTCTTAATTATTATTTATTATTTATAATTTGTTATCAATTATTTATTATTAATTATTTACTATATATTATTTATTATTTATTATTTTTTATTTATTATTTATTATTCATTATTTATTACTTATTATTTATTACTTATTATTTATTATTTATTTTTTTTAATTATTATTTATTATTAATTATTTATTATTTATTATTTATTGTTTAATATTTATTATTAATTATTTATTATTTATTATTTGTTATTTATTATTTATTATTTATTATTTTATATTTATTATTTCTTAATTATTATTTATTATTTATAATTTGTTATTAATTATTTATTATTAATTATTTACTATTTATTATTTTTTATTTACTATTTATTATTTAATATTTATTGTTTATTATTTATTTTTTTTTATTTGTTATTTATTATTTATTTTTTATTATTTATTATTTAATATATATTATTTATTATATATTATTTATTATCCATTATTTATTATTTATTATTTATTATTTATTATTAATTATTCATTGTTTATTAATTATTTATTATTTATTAATTATTAGTTATTTATTATTTATAATTTATTATTTATTATTTATTATTCATTATTTATCATTTATTATTTATTATTTATAATTTATTATTTATCATTTATTATTTATTTTTTATTACTTATTATTAATTATTTATTTTTTATCATTTCTTGTTTATTATTAATATTTATTATTTACCTTTTATTATTTGTTATTTATTTTTTATTATTTATCATTTCTTTTTTATTTTTAATATTTATTATTTGTTATTTATTATTTATTTTTTATTATTTATTATTTATTTTTTGTTATTTATTATTTATTATTTGTTATATATTATTTATTACTTATTATTTATTATTTATTATCTATTATTTAATGTTTATTATATATTAATTATTATATATAATATTTATATATTAATTATTATATATAATATTTATTATATATATATTTATTATATATATATTATGATACTTGTATAGCAGTCAAAATAAAAATAACTTGATATATGTCTCTTGAGAATATTTTTAATTCTAACTTTATTAACCAAGTATTAACTCTTATATATTAAAATTAAAATAAACAACTCATCCCTACTCTTACAACTTTAAATTTTAAAACTATTAAAATGAAATTATAATTGCATTTCGTCCTTTGTCGCTATTTAAAATTTATTGCCTAAATGTTATTTCGTTACATTTTATTATCAACACATGTAGTTCAAAATATGTATTTACTAGATTGATTAACATGTGTTATGCTATTTTTGTATTTTTCTTTGTAATTTTATTTATGTTTCTTCAACTAATTGTTAAAATAATTCCTTAAAAACAAGTGTAAAAAATTATCCTAAATAAATAATGACGAAAATGCGACATAAATTGTGATATTATTTTCAAATTTAAGATTTTACATATTTTTAGAAAAACTATTAATTTTTATGACGGTCAATTTTAAACATAATTCATATTTTATTCTTAAAACTAAAATCATTTTAGCTGGCGTAAACATTCTCCACGCGTTGATGTCTCTGGCATCAAATCTGGAAGTCTTGAGTTCTTAGTTGTATATGTTGTGGTTGTTCGACTAATTTGTGATTTTTATTGAATATGTATTTCTTACTAATATACATTGATATTATCAGAGCACTGACTACAATTGCGCTGTAACTTACTATATACTGATGTTTATCATGATATGACATTGCTTGAAAACTGTTTTCCTGCTTCTTCAAGGCTTGTAATTGCTGCTTAATTTTGCCATATTTGGCAGAAAATGTATCTGTTAAATTTAAACTGTTAATATGCACACTGCTAAATAATGAAGATTCCAATTCTTTTTGTAATTGTGGCATATTTATTGAAGGTGAGACTTTCCTGTATTCACTGCTTGATATTTGAAAAGTTTGTATGACTACTCCGTTATCCTTCAGTAGACAAATTTCATGAAAATTCAATAATCCAGTCCCTTTAAGCCTTTGTTGATAAACGAGACCATCGCACACAGTATTAAAAAGATACTCCTTATCTAATGAATAAGGCCATGAATTCTTTCTTGTTAGTTGAACCCAATATTTATTACTTTTGGTTAGTTTTATGTTGCATTTATCTGCTATTGTTTGCTGAGCTATTAAATTAAATTCGCATTCTACCTCTTTTGTTTCTTTAGTATATAATGGTCGCAATTGTTCACATGAGAAATTCTCAGAACTGACAGAAATACAGTCCCTCCATTCTATATCTGATAACGTATATGCTGTATCCCTATGCAAATTAGTCCAAAATAGTTCATTACTAGTTTCAATACTACAAAATGTGCCGTTAATTAGTTGAGGAAAAGGAATCATTTTGTATACTTCGAATTCTGTTGATTTTATTAATGGGATGTATAACACGAATATAACTGATGTTTTTGTAATTTTGGACTTTATTGTTGTCAATTTATATAACTGTGTTAGAGATGGTGCTTGTAATCCTTCCGGAATGATTTGAACCAAATCTTCTAAATATGCTGCTACTTGATTTGGCCCCAATAACAGAGTGCTGAATTTGTCGTGATGAATATCATGAATTATGTTCAAAATCGTAACTTGTATTTTTTCTAACTCGTTATTAAGTAATGAAACATATTGTGACAACATTAAAAACATCTTTTGCAGATTTTCATCTTGTTCCTTGGGTAATAAATATTTTAGCGTTCTGTTTATTTCTTTTTTGAAGATTGCTTAAGTATTCGTCAGTCCATAATTTCCAAAAGTGTTGTCTAATAGATGTTACTAATTTCCATCTTGATAATGACGTTAATTTTTGCTCTGATTCTCTATTTTCTGGAACTGCTGTCAAAGGTTCACCGATGAGAAAATGGCCTGGCGTTAATGCTGTAAAGTCATTTGGGTCAGAAGACATAGGTGTTATAGGACGAGAATTTAATACCGCTTCAGCTTCTGCAGTTACTGTACTCAACTCTTCGAATGTCAAGGAAGCGGATTTTAGTGCATGTCTTAATATTTTCTTTGTTGATTTTACTGCCTCTTCCCAAAGACCGCCAAAATGAGGAGATCTGGGTGTTATAAAGTTGAACTGGATACCTTTCTGAGCACTCTGGTTGATTATTTCATCTTTTACATTTTGTTTGTTAATTAGATCTCCCAGCTCTTTTAATTCATTTTTGGCTCCAATAAAATTTGTAGCGTTGTCACAATAAATTTCCTTACATAAACCTCTTCGAGCCATAAATCTTTTCAATGCACCTATAAATGCTTGAGTAGTCAGGTGAGATACTACCTCTAAATGGATTGCTTTGGTAACGAAACAGCAAAATACTGCGATATAACATTTTGTTGGTCGTTTGCCTCTAAGATGATAGTGTATCCAAAATGGGCCACAAAAGTCTACTCCACTATATAAGAATGGACGTGCAGGGATTACTCGTTTGTCTGGTAGATTACCCATTTGTTGTTGTAATAACTGAGGTTTTGCCTTAGAACATGCGACGCATTTACTAACCGTTGATCTTGCAAGTAATTTTCCTTTGATCACCCAGAACCGTTGTCTAGCTTTAGCCAAGAGTGCTAATGGTCCGGCATGATAATGTTGCTTATGTAAATGGTCAAATATTAATTTTGATACAAAATCATTACCTGGTAACAACCAGGGATGTTTTGCATTATATCCTATTGAAGCATTCTCCAATCTTCCTCCAACTCTAATTATTTCCTTTTCGTCTAAAAATGTATTTGTTGCGTCTCTTTGATGATTTCGCTTAAGGCATTGTTTAACTCATCTGAAGTTAACCAAGATTGTGAATGAGGTACAGATTTAATCTTTTTCATTTTGTTAATCGCTCGTAAAACATACGCCATTGATCGTTGTAGAAACATAAATGAATTACGATGATCAATTAATTCTATTAAATGTTTAACCTCATTGCTGGACATTTTGTTTATCAATAACACAGTATTTTTTTCTTCTTCTACTACCCTTACTATAGACAGACTTCTTAATGGCCATTGATCTTCTTGTAATGTTAAGAACTTTGGTCCTTGAACCAAAGTTCAGAGTCAATTAATCGGCTTGCTGACATACCTCTGGAAATAATATCTGCTGGATTATTTTTTGTGGCCACATAATTCCATTGATTAATTGTTGATTTTTCATGTATAACAACCAATCTATGTGCCACATAAGTTTTAAATGAACTGGGTTCGCCTTTTATCCATGAAAGAACGATTTGAGAGTCTGTCCATAAATAAGTTTCATCAATAGTTACTTCCAACGCCTTTTTTATTTTTGACACCAATTCTACCACCATAATTGCCGCACAAAGTTCCAGTCTAGGAATCGTTAGTAATTTGACTGGAGCTATCTTTGATTTTGAGCACAGCAACTTAATATTAATATTTCCTTGGATATCTATTGACCTTACATACAGAGCCGCTCCATATGCTTTCTTGCTTGCATCTCCAAATCCATGTAACTCGGTTCGCACAACTGCATTGTTACTAAAAACAAATCTATTTATTTTCAGTTGATTTAAATGAGTTAATTCATGTTTAAAATTCGTCCATTCATTTTGCATTTCTTGACTGAGTTCTTCATCCCAATTGATTTTCATTATCCACAACCTTTGAATGAATATTTTGGCTATAACTATTACTGGATTCACCAATCCTAAAGGATCAAAGAGCTGAGCTGCTTCTGATGCCACCTTTCGTTTTGTCAATTCGTTTGAATCTTCTAAAACAGATGTCTCGAAAGCGAATCGATCATTTGTGGGTTGCCACGCCAAGCCTAAAGTCTTAATGTAACCGGGTTCTTCTTTTTCAAAAACCTTTTCTTTTTCTCGATCTTCTTCAACAACATCTTCCATCATTTTGTCATTATTTGAAGACCACTTATGCAAATGGAATTTTGCTGTTTTTAACATTAATATTAACTGCTTTTTCAATTCAGTAGTTTCTGTAAGACTATTACATCCCGTAATAACATCGTCTACATAAAAATCTTTGATAGCCTTTGCTGCTAATCGGTACTGACTAAATTTATCTGCTGATAACTGTTTCAAACATCTAGTAGCCAGATATGGTGCTGCCTTCGTACCATAGGTTACTGTTGTTAGCTTAAAATAGTGAATTCTGTCTCTAGGATCTGAACGCCACATTATCATTTGTAAATTTTGATCTTCTTCAAAAACATTTATTTGCCTATACATTTTTTTTATATCTGATGTAATCACATACTTATATGTTCGGAATCTAAGTAAAATGTTAAATATGTGATCTTGCACTTTGGGTCCTTTTAACATGATATCGTTTAATGATAGATTAGATGTCGTTTTACATGACGCATCAAATACAACCCTTAATTTTGTAGTACTGCTATCCGGTTTCCACACGCCATAATGAGGCATAAAGTAGTGTATTTGCGGAATGTCAACTTCATTTACTTCTTTCATGTGTCCTAGCTTCAAGTAATCTTCTAAAAACTCAATATATTGTTGTTTGAGTCTTACATCCCTTCCTAATTTCTTCTCAAGGTTCGGAAATCTTCTAAACGCAATATTTTTGGATTCCCCCAGCACCCCTGGGGATCCCAAAATAGGCAGATTCACTACAAATCTACTCTCTTGATCTCGCTCTGATGTATTCACAAAATATTCTTCACATTTCACATCAGCTGGCTTCATATTTACATCTGTGTCTATATCTTCTAATTTCCAAAATCTTTGCAATTGGTTTTCTAATTCACTGTTAGATACTCCAGCAAATGGAACTTCTTGGTGCACTTTTCCAATAACTATCCAGCCAAATACAGTATTTTGAAACATGGGCAAATGTTTGTTCAATTTTATCTGCCCTACCCCTAATAATTCGCTAAACATTTCCGCACCTAATAGAACATCAATCCTTTGTGGATTATTAAAATTGGGATCAGGTAGCTGTACTTTCTGCGGTATATTCCAAGTTGAAATATTTATAAATCTCTGTGGTTGCAAACTGGTTATTTCTTTAATCACTCTTGCCTCGATATTTGTTGAGAAGTTATTTATTCTTGAATTTATTGTCAAGTTTACTCTGCCTTTGGATTCTACTTCGGTTTTTCCAATACCGTAAATTGAAAGCCCTTGATTTGATGGTTCCAGCTGCAATCTTTTTCTTAATCTGTCACTGATGAAATTGATTTGAGAACCGGAATCTAATAAAATTCTGCATTCAATTTCTTTATTGTGTTTATCTAACACAATGCCTTGCACTGTTCCCAAAAAAACGTAATTGTTGCTGTTGTCTTCTGCCATATTAACTGTTGTATTGATTTGTGGTTTGTTTTGAACTACCTTATAATCATCATGTAATAAGGTGTTATGTTTTTTGTTACATTTTCTGCAACCTCGGGAATAACATGTTTTTGTGTTATGGCCTTTTTTTAAACAATTAAAACATAATCGTAATTCTTTAATTTTTGCCTCTTTTTCTTTTTGATTCATCTTTAAAAGCTTATCGCAATTGTATATTGTATGGTATCCTTCACAAATTGCACATTTTGCCCCATCTATGACAGTAAATGAGTGGGAATTATTATCTTTTTTGGAAATTTGTTTTGTTGCGTATGACTTGGCTCCTAAGGCCTCAAATGACTGGAATCTCAACTCCAAAAACTTCATGAATTCATCTAAAGACTGAATTTGTCTAGGAGATTTTAATGTTTGTTCGTATATTGTATGTGTATCTTTATCTAATTTTTTATACAATATATGCAGAAGAATTGGATCCCAAGAATCACTTTTTATAACTTTTACATTTTTTAGCAGAAGGATACATTCTTTCGTTGTGTCAAACATGGACTTTAATGACCTTGCTGAGCCGGCAACTAGACTCGGTTGATTAATGAATTTATCTAAAACAGTTGAAATTAATAACCGAGCGTTATCATATCTGTCTTCAAGAATCTTCCATGCTACTTTGTAATTTGCTTCTGAAATTGCCAGATGTCCTATTAACTTCAGTGGTTCTCCCATAAGATTGCTATTCAAATAATACATCTTCTCAACATCTCTAAGCGATTGATTATCTATTATTTGCAGAAACATATCTTTGAATTGAATCCATTTCAAATAATTACCATCAAATTTTGGAATATTGATGGTTGGTAATTTTATTGAATCATTGTTTATTTTGTTACTTTTTTCCGACAGCTTGGCCAGTTCTTCAGATAATGTAATTATGAGGTTTTGCACCTCCGTTTCCGTGTCTTCAAATTCTTCAACATCATAACCATAGTTCTCAGGATATTCTGCTCTGCTTGAAATAACACGCTCATCTTTTTGTATCTCATCCCATTTAGTTTGTAAATGTTGTATGTTGATTTCATGGTATTGTCTTGATTGATCTTTTGTTTTCACATTGTTCATTATCTTCATCAACTTTACTATGTTTCTTTGATATTCTCTGAATAAAATTTTAATTTCTTCATTTTCTACAGAACTTTCTGATTGAAGTTCTTCCTTTTTTGAATTATTTTTGTTAATTTTTAATTGTGCAATTTTATTTCTTAATTTTTTTATAATATCTGTGTATATCATTTTAGTTTGATCATACACTTTTTCCGTAAAATACATATGGTCAGCCTGTGTTCCATCTTCTATTGATTTATGATTTTCTTGAAACTCTGCCCATATGTCTTCAATTTTTTCAAGTTTGTTTTTCACAAATTTTTCATTTTTTCTTTCTTCAGCAGTCTGGTCGTAGTCAGCACTTATTGATTTTAACTGCCTACCCAACTGCACTTGTTTTGATGCTAAATCATCCATGTTTGTAATGTTGTATAAATTTATTTAGTGATGTTTGACTTTGTACTGATTCTTTTTTGATTGATGACACCTTCACTTCTTGGCTTCTTTTTACTACAAACGTTCACCCAACGACGATTATCTTCTCTTGTTAATATTAGTAATATATAGTCTGTAGTACAGTAATGTATAATAACAAACAGTACAGTCAAGTCCCAACGATCACGTCGGGGTCACCAAAAATGTATAAACTAATGGTCTAACTGAAAACACAGTTAGATTCCACTTCGATTATACTTGTCCAATATTGTTATTTGTCACAAAATATACAAGTAACAGGGTAATCGAGAGTAACGCTCGCTCAATGATACTTGTATAGCAGTCAAAATAAAAATAACTTGATATATGTCTCTTGAGAATATTTCTAATTCTAACTTTATTAACCAAGAATTAACTTTTATATACTAAAATTAAAATAAACAACTCATCCCTACTCTTACATCTTTAAATTTTAAAACTATTAAAATGAAAATTATAATTGCATTTCGTCCTTTGTCGCTATTTAAAATTTATTGCCTAAATGTTATTTCGTTACATTTTATTATCAACACATGTAGTTCAAAATATGTATTTACTAGATCGATTAACATGTGTTATGCTATTTTTGTATTTTTCTTTGTAATTTTATTTATGTTTCTTCAACTAATTGTTAAAATAATTCCTTAAAAACAAGTGTAAAAAATTATCCTAAATAAACAACGACGAAAATGCGACATAAATTGTGATATTATTTTCAAATTCTACATATTTTTAGAAAAACTATTAATTTTTATGACGGTCAATTTTAAACATAATTCATATTTTATTCTTAAAACTAAAATCATTTTAGCTGGCGTAAACAATATTTATTGTTTATAATTTATTATTTTTTATTTGTTATTTTTTATTTATTTTTTATTATTTATTATTTATTATTTAATATATATTATTTATTATATATTATTTATTATCCATTATTTATTATTTATTATTTATTATTTATTATTTATTATTAATTATTCATTGTTTATTAATTATTTATTATTTATTAATTATTATTTATTTATTATTTATAATTTATTATTTATTATTTATTATTCATTATTTATCATTTACTATTTATTATTTATTATTTATTATTTATAATTTATTATTTATTATATATTTTTTATTACTTATTATTAATTATTTATTATTTATCATTTCTTATTTATTATTAATATTTATTATTTAACTTTTATTATTTGTTATTTATTTTTTATTATTTATCATTTCTTATTTATTATTAATATTTAATATTTATTATTTATTAATTATTATTTCTTATTTATTATTTATTATTTATTATTTATTATTTATTATTTATTATTTATTATTTATTATTTATTATTTATTATTTATTATTTATTATTTACTATTTATTATTTATTATTTATTATTTATTATTTATTATTTATTATTTATTATTTATTATTTATTATTTATTATTTATTATTTATTATTTATTATTTATTATTTATTATTTATTATTTAGTATTTATTATTTGTTTTTTATTATTATTTATTATTTATTATTTATTATTATTTATTATTTATTAATTATTATTTATTACTTGTTATTTATTATTTATTATTTATTATTTACTATTTATTATTTATTATTTATTATTTATTATTTATTATTTATTATTTATTATTTATTATTTATTATTTATTATTTATTATTTATTATTTTTTATTTATTATTTATTATTTATTATTTATTATTTATTATTTATTATTTATTATTTATTATTTATTATTTATTATTTATTATTTATTATTTATTATTTATTATTTATTATTTATTACTTATTATTTATTATTTATTATTTATTATGTATTATTTAATATTTATTATTTATTATTTATTATTTATTATTTATTTTTTATTATTTATTACTTATTATTTATTATTTATTATTTATTATTTATTATTTATTATTTGTTATTAATTATTTGTTATTTATTATTTATTATTTATTATTTATTATTTATTATTTATTATTTATTATTTATTATTTATTATTTATTATTTATTATTTATTATTTATTATTTATTATTTATTATTTATTATTAATTATTTGTTATTTATTAATTATTATTTATTATTTTTTATTTATTATTTATTATTTATTATTAATTATTTGTTATTTATTATTTATTATTTATTATTTATTATTTATTATTTATTATTTATTATTTATTATTTATTATTTATTATTTATTATTTATTATTTATTATTCATTATTTATTTTTTATTATTTATTATTTATAATTTATTATTTATTATTTATTATTTATTATTTATTACTTATTATTTATTATTTATTATTTATTATTCATTATTTATTATTTATTATTTATTATTTATTATTTATTATTTATTATTTATTATTTATTATTTATTATTTACTATTTATTATTTATTATTTATTATTTATTATTTATTATTTATTATTTATTATTTATTATTTATTATTTATTATTTATTATTCATTATTTATTTTTTATTATTTATTATTTATAATTTATTATTTATTATTTATTATTTATTATTTATTACTTATTATTTATTATTTATTATTTATTATTCATTATTTATTATTTATTATTTATTATTTATTATTTATTATTTACTATTTATTATTTATTATTTATTATTTATTATTTATTATTTATTATTTATTATTTATTATTTATTATCTATTATTTATTATTTATTATTTTTTATTTATTATTTATTATTTCTTATTTATTATTTATTATTTATTAATTATTATTTATTATTTATTATTTATTATTTATTATTTATGATTTTTTGTTTATTATTTATTATTTATTATTTATTAATTATTATTTATTATTTATTATTTATTATTTATTATTTATGATTTTTTGTTTATTATTTATTATTTATTATTTATTATTTATTATTTATTAATTATTATTTATTATTTATTATTTATTATTCATTATTTATTATTTATTATTTATTATTTATTATTTATTATTTTTTATTTATTATTTATTATTTCTTATTTATTATTTATTATTTATTATTTATTAATTATTATTTATTATTTATTATTTATTATTTATGATTTTTTGTTTATTATTTATTATTTATTATTTATTATTTATTATTTATTATTTATTATTTATTATTTATTAATTATTATTTATTATTTATTATTTATTATTTATTATTTATTATTTATTATTTATTATTTATTATTTATTATTTATTATTTATTATTTATTATTTATTATTTATTATTTATTATTTATTATTTATTATTTATTATTTATTATTTATTATTTATTATTTATTATTTATTATTTATTATTTATTATTTATTATTTATTATTTATTATTTATTATTTATTATTTATTATTTATTATTCATTATTTATTTTTTATTATTTATTATTTATTATTTATTATTTATTATTCATTATTTATTTTTTATTATTTATTATTTATAATTTATTATTTATTATTTATTACTTATTATTTATTATTTATTATTTATTATTCATTATTTATTATTTATTATTTATTATTTATTATTTATTATTTATTATTTATTATTTATTATTTATTATTTATTATTTATTTATTATTTACTATTTATTATTTATTATTTATTATTTATTATTTATTATTTATTATTTATTATTTATTATTTATTATTTATTATTTATTATTAATTATTTGTTATTTATTATTTATTATTTATTATTTATTATTTATTATTTATTATTTATTATTTATTATTTATTATTTATTATTTATTATTTATTATTTATTATTTATTATTTATTATTTATTATTTATTATTAATTATTTGTTATTTATTATTTATTATTTATTATTTATTATTTATTATTTATTATTTATTCCTTATTATTTATTATTTATTATTTATTATTCATTATTTATTTTTTATTATTTATTATTTATAATTTATTATTTATTATTTATTACTTATTATTTATTACTTATTATTTATTATTCATTATTTATTATTTATTATTTATTATTTATTATTTATTATTTATTATTTATTATTTATTATTTACTATTTATTATTTATTATTTATTATTTATTACTTATTATTTATTATTTATTATTCATTATTTATTAATTATTATTTATTATTTATTATTTATTATTTATAATTTATTATTTATTATTTATTATTTATTACTTATTATTTATTATTTATTATTTATTATTTATTATTCATTATTTATTATTTATTATTTATTATTTATTATTTATTATTTATTATTTACTATTTATTATTTATTATTTATTATTTATTATTTATTATTTATTATTTATTATTTATTATTTATTATTTATTATTTATTATTTATTATTTTTTACTTATTATTTATTATTTCTTATTTATTATTTATTATTTATTAATTATTATTTATTATTTATTATTTATTATTTATTATTTATTATTTATTATTTATTATTTATTATTTATGATTTTTTGTTTATTATTTATTATTTATTATTTATT